GGAACAGACATTGCCGGTTCAGTCGCCTGATCGTGTGCAAACGCTGCCAGTACAGACTCAGGGGCAGATAGGAGCCCCACCTTCACACCTGGTATTGATTTCCAATGAGGCCCTTCAGGCGCTCATACGGGCCGCTGGGGCCAACCAAGCGGGGAATGACGCTAGCATGACTAGAGAGCAGAAATTCATCAGGGACTTTAGGAAGCATGACCCTCTGACCTTCGAAGGGAAGAAAATTGATCCAATGGCAGCAGAAGCATGGGTAGAAGTGATTGAAACCACATTTGGGCATATGAATTGCCCTGAGGATACGAAAGTGAACTGTACCTCCTACATGCTCAAAGGCGAGGTACACTTTTGGTGGAAAACTGCTCAAAGGACGTTGAAGGGTGGAGAGAAAGATGAGGAACCAATCTGTTGGCATGAAATGAAGAGGGCGCTTTTCCACAAGTACTTCCCACTGGTGAATCAGTATCAAAATGAGGCCGCCTTCCTAAACCTGAGGCAAGGAAATAAGACGGTTGAGGAGTACGATTTGGAGCTGACCCGATTGTCCGGATTTGCACCAGAGCAGGTCGATACGGAGAAAAAATGGATACGAAGATTTATTGCAGGTCTTCGAGAGGAAATCTAGGGAACAGTGGGGGCAGTGGCACCCACTACATATGCAGGTGCCCTATATGCTGCTACCATGATGGACGCCCAACTCCAAAAGATGCTCAGGAGATTTGGGGGTCAAAGGAACCTCCTTGGTGAGCGGGAATGGAACGAGCATTCTTATAGGACATCACGACACGTGAACAGAGGAAGATCACATAGGCCAATTGTGATGTCCCACATTGGTTGGGGAGGAGAACAAATCACCATTTATAAGGGTGTGGAAACCTTCCCCTAGCAGACGCGTTTTAAAACTTTAAGGGGAAGCCCGAAAGGGAAAACCCAAAGAGGACAATATTTGCTAGCGGTGGATTTGGGTCGTTACAAATGGAATCAGAGCCAGACACCGGACGATGTGTCAGCCTTCTCGCTGTTCTCCGAAGGGGGGTAGACACGAGGCGGTGTGTCAGTAAGGACGCTGGGCCCCAAAGGGGGGTGGATTTAGGGGCGGTCCCACATCGATTGAAGGAAAGAAAGATGTGTCAGCCTTCTCGCTGTTCCCCGAAGGGGGGTAGACACGAGGCGGTGTGCCAGTAAGAACGCTGGGACCCAAAGGGAGGTGGATTTAGGGGCGGTCCCACATCGATTGAAGGAAAGAAAGAGTGCCAACGAGGACGCTGGGCCCCGAAGGGGGGTGGATTGTGATGTCCCACATTGGTTGGGGAGGAGAACAAATCACTATTTATAAGGGTGTGGAAACCTTCCCTTAGTAGACGTGTTTTAAAGCCTTGAGGGGAAGCCCGAAAGTGAAAACCTAAAGGAAAGGAAAAACCCAAAGAGGACAATATTTGCTAGCGGTGGATTTGGGTCGTTACATGCCTTGAGGGGAAGCCCGAAAGTGAAATCCTAAAGGAAAGGAAAAACCCAAAGAGGACAATCTGCTAGCGGTGGATTTGGGTGATTTGGGCGTTACACCTAGACCCTCATTCAATACAGAAACAGAAAGAATCTCTCCTAGCGGTGGATTTGGGTCGTTACACCCAGACCCTCACATTCAATACAGAACCTCACATTCAATACAGAAACAGAAAGAATCTCTCCTAGCGGTGGATTTGGGTATTGACCCAAATCTATTTGGGTCGTTACACCTAGACCTTCATTCAATACAGAAACAGAAAGAATCCAGCGGTGGATTTGGGTCGTTACATGCCTTGAGGGGAAGCCCGAAAGTGAAATCCTAAAGGAAAGGAAAAACCCAAAGAGGACAATCTGCTAGCGGTGGATTTGGGTGGTTTGGGCGTTACACCTAGACCCTCATTCAATACAGAAACAGAAAGAATCTCTCCTAGCGGTGGATTTGGGTCGTTACAAATGTAACGCCCCGAGGTTATATAACAAAATAAAGAAGAAAAAAAAAATTAAATGACCCCCTCTCCTTAAATCTCTCCTCCCCTCCCCTAAAATACCTGCCTCATTCAATACAGAAACAGAAAGAATCTCTCCTAGCGGTGGATTTGGGTCGTTACAAATGTAACGCCCCGAGGTTATATATATATATATATATATATATATGTAAATAACAAAATAAAGAAGAAAAAAAATAAAATAAAATGACCCCTCTCCTTAAATCTCTCCTCCCTCCCTCCTTCAATACAGAAACAGAAAGAATCTCTCCTAGCGGTGGATTTGGGTCGTTACAAATGTAATGCCCCGACTCATTCAATACAGAAACAGAAAGAATCTCTCCTAGCGGTGGATTTGGGTCGTTACAAATGTAATGCCCCGACTCATTCAATACAGAAACAGAAAGAATCTCTCATCCCCTCCCCTAAACAGAAACAGAAAGAATCTCTCCTCCCCTCCCCTAAAATATCTCTCTCATTCAATACAGAAACAGAAAGAATCTCTCCTCCTCTCCCCTAAAGTACCCCTCATTCAATACAGAAACAGAAAGAATCTCTTCTCCCCTCCCCTAAAATACCTCCCTCATTCAATACAACAGAAAGAATCTCTCCTAGCGATGAATTTTGGTCGTTACAAATGTAACACCCTGTTGACTCTGGCAAATCGGATGTCGACGAAAAATTGGCCGAAGGTTTCTTCGAAGGAAAAATTAGCGGAAGTAAAAGGAGAGAGAGAGAGAGATTCGCTGATAATGCTGAAGACTCGATGTTTTATTTTACATCAGTTGAATGGTTTAAATAACAAATCTAATTACAAAAATAGAAAAACCAAATATACAAAAATAGAATAAGTGGACGAAGACTTCGCCCACTTTGCCAAAACAATGGCCCCTAGAATCACGCTCCTCCATTCGCGTGAACTCATATGTTTTTACAAACCTAACTAAATAAGGCAGAGCTTTTATTTAACAATCTCCTCCTAAAAGCTGTACCTTATTATTTGAACTCCGATCTTTGAGCGTAGTTCTTCAAATTTCACCCGCGCCAGGGACTTGGTGAAAATGTCTCCAAGTTGTTCCTCTGTTCGGATGAAATCAATCTTGATGAGCCCTCGATCTGCACATTCTCGAATGTAGTGGAATCTGATTTCTATGTGCTTGCTCCGGTCGTGCAAAACTGGATTTTTGATCAGGGAGATCGTAGCTTTGTTGTCTACGTATAGCATTGGTGGATCGCTTTCTCTCCCGATGAGTTCTTCCATTAGTCGTGCAAGCCAGATCCCTTGAGTTGCTGCCATCGAAGCGGCGATGTATTCTGCTTCGTAGGAAGACAAAGCAACTACCTTCTGTTTTGTTGATTGCCAGCAGATCGCGCCGCCTGAGAGAAAGTAGATCATTCCGCTGGTGCTCTTACAATCATCAACGTCACCGGCCATGTCACTATCGTTGTAGCCGACCAGTTTGAGTTTCTCCTTTCCGCTCCCAGCGCAGTATCTTACGCCCCAGCCTCTGGTTCCGGCTACATAGCGCAGGATGCGCTTGACAGCCACTAGATGCTCCTCCCTAGGTGCTTCCATAAACCTGCTCACATATCCAACAGAATAAGCAAGATCAGGACGAGAGTTTACCAGATAGCGCAGACTCCCGACAATGTTGCGGTAATTGGTGGAGTCGACTGTCGTCGTAGTGCCGGCCTTCCTTAGTTGAAGTCGGGCCTCCATTGGCGTCCTGGTAGGATTACTGTCCACAAGCCCAGTTGTGTCCAGCAGCTTCCTCGCGTATGCACTTTGGCAGATGGAGATGTCGGAAGAGTTCTGTTGCACTTCGATGCCGAGATAGTAGCTGAGCACACCGAGATCGCTCATCTCGAAGTTTTTCGACATCTCCTTCTTGAACCTTTCGAGGACTCCCACGTCGCCTCCAGTGATTATGAGGTCGTCGACGTACACTCCCACGATCAGTCGTTTTTTGCCGTGGCCGTACGTGTACATGCCATGCTCAGAGGCACAACGTTTGAAATTCAGTGACAGTAGGGTACTGTCGAGCTTCGCGTTCCAGGCTCGTGGGGCTTGTCGAAGCCCGTAGAGTGCTTTGTGCAGGCGCAGTACCTTATTAGGGTTGTCGTTATCCAGGAAGTCAGGTGGTTGTCGAACATAGACGGTCTCCTTCAACTCTCCGTTAAGGAAAGCAGACTTTACGTCCATATGGTGAACCTCCCAAGAGTGATGTGCTACAATTGCCAGCAAGAAACGAACGGATTCTAACCTTGCTACTGGTGCAAATACCTCTTCGAAGTCCACTCCTTGCTTCTGGACGTAGCCCTTCGCCACCAGACGAGCCTTGTGCTTCACAACTTCTCCTTTTTCGTTGCGCTTCAGTTTGAAGACCCATTTGAGCCCTATGGCTCGGTGTCCCGGTGGCATATCCTCCAGACTCCACGTCTGGTTCTCAGTGATGGATGTCATCTCCTCCTGCATTGCCTAACGCCAGCACGGGTTCTTTTCTGCTTCGGCGAAGGTGTTTGGTTCATCTGCACTGACGGCATGTAGTTCGGCCACTTCCTCGAGCTCGCGCGCTGCTAGTCCAGGTGGTTCACCTCCTCCCACTAGGTCATCCATCCTCCGGTACCTAGCCTCCAGATCAGTATCGTGATCGGCATCCAGCGTCGAATCCGTAGTCCGTGGTGTTGCGAATTCCACTGGTTCAGGTGGTGCACCTGCTGGTGGCGGTGACGTCTCCTGATGCTGGGCTCCTCCTTCTTCAGGCTCGGTGACGAGGTACTCCACCGTGAATTACGGTCTGCCTCGATCACGTCATTCCACTGCCAGAAGGTGCTTTCGTCGAAGACGACGTCGCGAGACACGTGAGCTCGCCCCCCTACAGGATCATAGAGTCTGTACGCCTTGCTCCTGGGTTCGTAGCCGATGAAGACGACCTTCAGCCCCCTGGGATCGAGCTTGGCGAGATGGGGACGTGTTACCTTCATGTATGCGACGCAGCCGAACACGCGAAAATGATGTACTGTTGGTTTTTTGTTGTACCAGGCCTCATATGGCGTCTTCCCGTCGAGGCTTCGGGTTGGTGACCGATTGAGGAGATAGACAGCCGTCATTACTGCCTCTCCCCAGAATCTCCCAGGCATCCCGGCCGTCACCAACAATGACCTCGCTGTCCCGACAATGGTCTGATTTCGGCGCTCTACCACTCCGTTCTGTTGGGGGGAGTAGGGTGCCGTTAGGTGCCGTTGTATGCCGATCTCGTCGCAGTACTTACTGAAACTTGCCGAGGTGAATTCTCTGCCTCGGTCTGTGCGCAGTGTCACGGTCATGCTTGTCCAGGGCATGCTGCCCATGACAAGCCAAACCCTTGTCATGTCTTTTCATTTTAGTGTTTTTCCTTTTGTAATTCTAAAGCGTATGACACCTCAAAAATATCATGTTTACGCCTGCCAGAACTAAAATGGCCCAGAATGTACTATAGGGGGATATGACTAGTCGTCAACTTCTCCCTACCCAAGGTTATATATGCTAAGCCGTTGTTATCTTTCTCTTGCTTGCTATATAACGTCTCTTTCTAAAATCTCTCTTTCAAAATCTCTCTCTCTCCTCGTTTTCTAAAACCTTCTTTTAAAACCG